AGAAGAGAACTTACAAATGATGCAGTTCTGAGGAGAGCTGAGGATACAGGAAGGGAGCACAGCCAAAACTAGTGAAATCTGTGAGCAGCTTCACTGTAAATGCATTTACGTACATGCCTGACCATGGGGAGCAGGGGAATGCAGAATCCCCTGGGATTACAGGTAAATTCTAGGTCCCAACATGAAGATGGAAAGGACCTCTTTGGCAAAAGTGAAAGACACCATGTCATGAGGCGCTCGAGCTCAGAGCATACGCCTGCATTCACAGTGATGTCCTGGCTCAATCCTGGTTATCAAAGCCAGGCTCTCCCTATAGCTAAAGCACAAGCACATGTTCCACTGCAGACTTGGCTTCAGCATGGGGCAAGCCATCCTCCGCTCAGTCTTGCACATATGGAGGAAAGAGGGAGCTACAACACAGTTGACCACCTGATATTCCAGGCTTGGCTCTCCCTAAGTAGTATGCAAAAGCCCTAATACCTAACAAATAAGTTGCTAGCTGGTAATATATACAAAAAGCACATGGTCATAGGAATTCAGTTCAGCCAAGGTCAAAACTGGTGAAGCCTGGTTATTTTCTTTTGGAATTTTGGAATCTAGAGTCTTGGTTTGGGCGTGTTGAGTAGAAGCAGAGTGTGCAGAAGGATTCTGTGTTTAGAAGTGTGTTCAGAGGGATTCTGTGATTCACAGTGAGGGGCAGAAAGAAAGTGATGTTTCAGGAACATTATGTTCCTTCGCCACTTCATTCCCATTTAAAACAAAGGGTATAAGAAAATCTGACCCACAGGTCTGCACTATTCAAAAAGGTGGCTTGGTAAACAGAAGGCAAATAAAGCAGGCAAAGAAGCCTGGAAAATATAATTTATCACTCAGATCAGCAATTTTTCACATGGATTCCATCACTGCTGACATGACAAAGGGATTTGATTAGATACAAAATGCAGAGAGAGACATAGTGTAAATTCTCATAAGCTAGAAAAATTGGAGCATTTCAAATTAATTACCTTTTCTTCACCAGACAGCTGTAAAAGGGTTAAGTTAAAGTGGAAGCTATATTGACCAAATCATGTCTACATGTGACAGGGATTGATCTGAGCTGCATCACTAAGCTATGCTGCTGACCAAAACGATTAGAACTGAAAAATGTGGTATACAGCATAAAAATCCAATTTAATGGCTTCTGAGCTTATTTGAGCCTGGCTAATGTTCCATCAAATTAGAGTAGCTGAGGGCTAAACTGGGTTAGGTTCATATCTATTCCATATATCTATTTATATTCTGTACCCAGATACATAGATACCACTCATATAAAAATATCTCCAGAGATACTGCTATGTGAGAAAAACAATAAACTTTAAATAGGTGAAAATTAGCTTTTTTTGTCCAATCTTTAAATCATATACATATGCACCTAGTAGAAATAAAGAAGGGATTCAGTATTCAAGGTACAACAGCATGGATTGTAAAAGGCAGACAAAGGCTGTGGTCCCATCTCAGCCACATTGCACACCATGGTACTTCCTGGATCACAGTTAGTATTTTGGTGTGGTGAGGACATCAGACTGCAACACAGCAGTTCTGAATCCAAGTCCGTGGCCATGCCTGTGTGACCTTGGATGTGGAGTCCAGCCTTCTGAGAGCTACTCCAGCTGGAACTGCTCACCATATTATCTAGTTGCTCTTGCATTCGTATGGCATCTACCACAAAGGTTTTCTAAAGTTTTGAACTGGTAAACATTATACATTGGGTTAAGTGCAAATACAAAACACAGTTTGTTTAGTCAGATTGCTCATATGTTTGGAAAGAAATAGAAATACAAATCCTTATGTTTTTATGATGTGGATCTAATCATCTCACTGTGCCACAAACAACTTTGCCTGATCATGTTGGGCAGGGCCATGGTATATAAGTGATTATATCAAAGCATCCTAAGAAGAAAAACAAAGAATCATGTTACATTTTAGTACCTGTATTGTGAACGGTGTGAGTTTCTTTTTGTTGATTGTTCTCTCATCAATGGTATCTGGCACTGAAAAGTTGATCATCTTACTGGAAATAAGAGAAAAACCAACAAGAAATACACTACTAGCTATGTGCACACCCAGTAGCTTTTGTCACTATGCTGTAGGACAGGTCAAAGAGCTGGAGAGTAGCTGAACAAATATAGATAGTCTCTGCTTTACACGTACACACACAGAGGCACACATGCAACACTCGAGCAATTCTTTTGGGTCACATGCAGATTGTACTACAGGAGTGAGGCCAAGAATGCCGCAAGGTGAAGCTGTGCAAGAAATTTATGGTGCACAAAACTTCTGTGGAAGCACTCACTATCTCGTGCTGCTTCATGCGAATCCCCAAAAGTCCTTGGACAAAAATAAAACCAGGTAACTCCTCAAACTTCACTGACTTATTGCAAGGGTCTGGAGGCAAAGGAAAACTCATTAACATGAAAGAAGCTTTATATTTTTAAAGAGAAAAGAAGCAAAAAACCTAGCGTTATTCAGGCTCTGAATCTGCAAATATTCATGAGCTTAACTTAAAGCCAGCAGCTTCCATTTAAGCAGAGATGTGAGCTTCTGCAGACTCATTTTCCATTTGTGAGAAAGATGAGTATTACTTACCAAAGCACTATGCCATCACCAACCGCCTGGAAGAGGTCATCTGTTTCTGGATTCATTGGGACCACGTGTTTACAGTCAGGGTCCTTCTCGAGGGCTTTATTAATCCAGTTGACAAAGGCATACTTTTCTTCCTCTGTGGACACAACATCAAATCCATCAGTTTGCTGTTCAATACCTTTACCATCATTTTACTTACAAAGTCAGAACTCCTAGGGGAGAAGACTCTCCCATCATTGTGACTGATCAACAAACCCCTACAAGGGAAGAAGGCTCTACGGAGACAGGAAATTAGCTGAAGACAGCAATGGGCTTGAGCTTCCATACTCCTCCCCACCGACTGCGGTTGCCCGGTGTCATGAGGGCAGTCATATTATAGAGAGTGGCAACGAAGTTCATGTGATTTAACTGATGTTGCAGTTGCTATGCTCTGCTAAGTGTAATTTGTACTTGCACCGTAATTCAAATGCATTGTTGTATCACTCTGCTAAACTGAAATCCCATGTAACTTCAAATAAGTTCAAATAAGTGAACATAAGGAAGAACTTTACTGTGCGGGTGACTGAGCACTGGAACAGGTTGCCCAGAGAGGTTGTGGAATCTCCCTCCCTGGAGATACTAAAAAAACATCTGGACAAAATCCTGGTTCATGTGCTCTAGGAGTCCCTGCTTGAGCAGGGTGGTTGGACTAGATGACCCTCAGAGGTCCCTTCTAACCTCAACCATTCTGTGATTCTGCATAATTCTATATTGTACATTACACCCTCCACATGTCGAATACCTAGAAGACCCTAGCCAGTGTGTATTGGACTCTTGACAAAGTGCATTCAGAGAATCATAGAATCACAGAATGGTTTG